GCAAAGATTATTTTATCATCTTCATAGGAAAAGGAGAAGGCTTTATATATTCCTTCCATTGCCCGCTGAGACGTGAGAGAAGTGCCCTGCTCTGTAGGCCCAGCCCAAGCACTGTTCGTGAAAGCATTTGGACTCCTGTGTCTGGTCTATAAGGTCCCTATTCTGATGCACGCATTCCTTCCTGAAACACGTCTGTAAGCGGGCGCAGGCACTTGTGGCCGCAGGGCTGTCCCCGCGGCGGGAGGAGCCGAGGCCGGCGGGGGCGGGCGCCGCAGGAGACCCCGCGCGGAGCCGGTGCGCTGCGGCCGGGCCTGGGAGCCGCCGCGCCAACCGCGGGCTGCGAGGCGTGTGCGAAGGGAGTGGGCGGGAGGCCGGCCGCATGGAGGGCCTCTTCACTAAAGAATCACATCAGGCAGCCGGAGATAGGGGTAGGTGGGGGCGGGAATCCATCAGCTCCACAAAGCAACACAACCCTTTTATCGTAAATCAAGTTCAATCTCGCCCTCACGAAGGTCCTCTTCTTTCAGTGGGGCTCCCGCGGGGGGCGACCCGCCGTCCTGGATCAGAGAGTAGCGGAGGTGGAGAGTCCCAAACCGGCGGGGAGGGGGCACAGGGTGGGAGCAGCGGTGGGAATCGGGGCCTCGGCTCAGCTCGACCTGCAGGGTGGCTGCCTCGGGGGCGCTTCTCCTGGACTTGCATCGGCCGAGGCGGCGGTTCGCCGGGCACAGTCGGAGCTGCGCGACCGGAGGAAGTAAAAAGTGCCATTTAGAGCAGTTTCACTGGCGACCTCGCTGCGGCCGCGGCTCAAGGGCTTCCAAGCAGCAGACCTGAGACCCCGCTCCTCCCCAGGCGGCTTCCACTAAGAACTTATTAAATAGGGACGGTTTAGAGTTGATCTGTCGCTGAGCGCTACTTACCCCGAGATCTTTTGGTTTTTGAATTACTTTATTGATCTGAAGATTTTGTTCTTTGGAATGTGACCCTGTTTGGACTGAGAGCTAATCAGGAAACGCTGCCGGGGAGGGCGCTTTGTAATCACCTCGCGGCCCACCCCCGCGGGCGCCGCCGACCCTTCCCCGGCGCGCCCCTTGCGGTCGCCTAGGCTTTGCAGGGAACCCGCCAGCCCCCGGCGCTACGCGGCCCCGCGCGCCCTGGGAGCTGTCTGTGGTGCTGGGAGAGAGAAACCAGAAGAGGAAGGCCTGGGGGGAGAGATCAGGAGAGGTAGAAAGGAGAGAAACTGAGAATGCGAGCTTGACCAAGATGGCCACCCAGCAACACTCAGACTGACAGAGATCTTCACAATTCAGCCGGAAGGAGGGGAGGAAAAAAGTCCCTTCTGGGTCATCTCATCTCCCTGAGACAGCTGACCTGGTTTTCCAATGCAAGAGACCAGTGGCACCTCCCTTTCTCTGAAAGCACACACCCCCAACCCCACACACTTACCCCTACTCAGCCCTTAGGGCGTCCAGCCTGCCAGCAGTAAGAAAGGAGGGGCACTGGGCCCCGATCATACACCCCAACTCCAGAAAAAGAGGCAAGTGGTAGAGAGGAAGGCTGGAACTGGCTTAGGAAGTGGGACTGGACAAAGACCTAGTGGGAGACTCAAGGAGCCTAGAAACACTGTTCCAGGGTCCATGGTGTAAACCTTGGAGAAGCCCCCCGTCACCCTTCTAGCCAAGAACCGAGACACAGCGCAAGCCAGCTTTCCCTCGCCAAGGATTCAGAGCTGTGGCCAAGGATTCAGAGCTGTGGAGGAAACATCGATGCCCTCGGAGGCTCGGCCCTGGCCCTGACCATGCCCACCAGTGGTGAAGTCAGTCTCTTTCCAAGCAGGTTGACTTCAAGACATGCCTGGCTTTTTAGAAAACCAAGCTGCTCTTCTCCAGTATAGGTTTGTTACCACGTGGCTTAACAGGAACTAAAGTTTCCCTAGCCCTGGGGAGAGCTTTTCCAAATATTTTTAGAAAGTTAAAAATATAACAAAACAAACTACTCACAAGCTGCCTGTGTAAAGAGGGGAGGTGGGACTCCGCAGACTCCTGGGGAAGGGCTGCCTAGGCAGGAGTCAGATGGCAGGGAGGGAGGCAGAGGGAAGTCTTGGTTTGAGGGTAAGCGGTTTTATTTGCAACAGAGGAAATCGGCTGTCTAATTTGCCACCGTGTGGGCTTTCATTTTAAGGGGTGGAGCAAAAATAAACTGATACAAGGTGGTAGGTATATTTGCTGGAGGCGTGGAGGCGAGCAGCAATCATTACTTTGCAACTCATTGAAAATTGCTCGCTTGGGCTAGAACGGGTGGCTGCTAGCCTCGAAGTTAACATCTCACTTCGTACTCGCTGCAGATTTCTGCTAGGTGTGCGGGGTCCTAGAGCTGATCTTAGAGTGGGCAGATCTAAAGGGCCCTTGTGGGTGTTTAAACGTCTCTCTGAAACTAGCTCGTTTTCCTGTGTTTATGTAGCCAGCAAAGATTGCCACTGAAAGTCCCTGTTTTGCCGGTCCCCAACTTAATCAAAGGAGCAATCCAAACAGAGCCTAGCGGTGGGGTGCCCTTCAGACACCAGCTGAAGATGGGGAGAGAAAGGAAAGGAGGCTCCCAGGGCCAACCATCCTCAGGGCGTCCATCACTAACTCCAGATGGCCCCTGGGAAAAGACCTTTGCCTGTTATCTTGTTTCTTGCTTTTCAGAAAACCTGGAGTTGCACTTCTCACCTCTTAGCCAACCCCCCAACTTTGTTGGGCAGGCACAGAAGGAGAGAAGGAACCCCTTTGAAGGAAAGGATTGGGTTTGCATTTTACTTTTAAGCAGTAGTTGGGGGATGTTTGAATAGAAGAGCACCTGCTGAGGTGCCCTTTGCAGGACTGCTGCCGGGGGGGAAAAAAAAAAAGAAAGAATCCAGCACTCAACTTTCTTCCTGGGACGACAGCTCCCCACTTCTCCAAATCCAATTTGAGGATTTCTATGCAACAGGAAGTAACCAAAAGAAATTTAGAAGAGGAATTGACACTTTCAGCTGGCTGGTTTAGGGCGTGAAAGAAAACATGACCTTGATGAAAAGCAAATTTGGGAAGACTCTGGTGGATCTAGAGTAATTGCTAGCAGCAGTGGAACCTGAGGTTAATTAGGAAAACTTGGTGTCTGTGGACACAGTGCTTCCCCTGCATTGTCCATCTGTGGAGTCCAAGTTTGGCCTTGAGAGCAAAGGGGCAGCAGGAAGGCTTCTAGGCAGAGTGGCTGGTGAGCTGCTGGCGGGCAGCTGGTAGCAGATGGGTGCTATGGCCTTGTTTGCGTTTGTAGGTTTATGTGTTTTTCCCAGCTGGACCTGAAGTCAGTCTTTGTAAGGGACCTCCAGTGTGAACTCCAGTGACTTCCCAGGTCCCCCTTGTGCCCGAAGCCGACCAGCCCCTGAGCCAGTGCAGACAGAAGCTGTGGCACCCCCAAGCCTTGGAAAGTGCCCTTTTAGGTCCAGGCAGACCATTTTTGAACGATTTAAACTTGATTGTAAAACCCAACAGCAGCAAAGATGGAACAAGGAGAGTCCAATGAGTGCCCAGACATTGGGCATTCCCACTGGACGCAGTGGTGCCCCGTTTCTAGGCCAGCCCAGCTGTCTAAGTTTACCCCAGCTCAGCGGGAAGAAAATGAGAAGGGCCAGTCCGGACCCTTTTGTTAGAACCAAACAAGACCAAGACCATTTTTAAAGCAAATTGATGAGCTGGAGAGAAATCTGCAAACCACTCCCTAATTAGCCAAGGTCTGATCTAGGCGCCCGAGGCACTTTCCTCCTGGATTTCACCTCTTCCCTTCTTCCTTCCCACCCCTCCCCAACAACACACTCCCACAGCACTCCACATTTTTTTAAATGTCTTTAACTCTACTAAGGTTGAAACATTAAAGAAAGTTGGAGGGCAGGTCTGGATGTGTTTTAGCTGGGTGTTGTGGCCCTTTGACACTGCAGGAGGGCAAGAGTGAGGATAGAGATATCAGGATACCAGATGGGGACCGACTCTGGCTCCACAGGAAGTGACCCCCCGGCTGGAGAATGGGGGAGCAGCCTTCGAACTGTGCCCCCATTCAGTTGTTCCCTCTTACAGTCTTGGCAGGGGGCGTCTGCGGCTGAAGTCGACCCTGGCGAGGTGCTATGAGTATTTACACACCCATTCACCCACACTCACACCCACTCCAGAGCAGGCAGCGGGCCTCCTCTACCCTCTGGGCAGTGCCTCTCATTTTGTGGTCCCAAACGATCCAGAGACGCGGATAAAAAGCTTGGCACGCCAGTCTAGGCCAGAGTTGCACTCCCGCTCCAGGCATCCCAGCACAGCCAACTCTCTAGGACCAGAGGCTGGGCGCGGGGTTGGGGGCTGCATGCCCGCCGGGGATGAGAGGGCGAGGATCAACGCCGCCACGAGGGTTCGTTAGCCCGGCCCCTCGGAGTCCCCGGGCGCCCTAATTGCGCGCGCTGCAGCCTCTCGCTCGCAGGCTGTCCCGCCGCGCGGGCACCCGGCCTCGGGCTGCGGAACAGCTGCGAGACCCGCCGAACGCCCGCCCGCCGCCGCCCAGCGCTCGGGACCCTCGCCGCCCGGGAGGAGCCCCAGGAGAAGGAGGAGGGGCGGACAGACTCGGTTCAGCTGGGGCTGCCAGGCAGGCCGGGACGGCAGGGGACGTCGGCCGCCCACTTAGCCAGCACCGAAAGCCTGCAAGTACAGACTTTCTCCCGCGGCATCGCGGGCTGCTCTGAAATCATCCACTTAAAAAGAAAGGAATTCACACATATCAAATAACGGCTTGAAAAGGGCCAGCGTGGAAAATGGAGCTGTTTTTATACAAGTCAACCCAACGTCTTTACAGATTTTGTAAATTCCTAATATTCCTGGAGGGATTTCTTTTTTTTCCTAAACCAAATCACATTTCATCATAGTACATTCCTGCTTTAGTAAAATCAGCTCCTTGGGATTTCATCACTTGTTAAAAAAAGATAAACTTTATTTTTGTAATTTTCAATCACAAAAAAATCTATATTTTTGTCTAAGCATTTATTTTACTGAATCAAAAAGACATGAAAAGAAAAATCATGTTTTACTAACTTATATAAGTGACTCTTTTTCGGACAACATATAATAAATATGATATATCACTTATCACTCAGTCTTTCAAATGTACATTTTTTTTCATATTATGGAGCATGCCACTTTTCCAAAAGAAAAAAGGTCGTGAGACATCAGTGCAAAGTTCTCAGTGACCCTCCTCTTTTCTCTGGGGCAGACGAACCGTCCACGCAGCGCCCTCTCCTCTGAATTTGAGGCCGTCTGTACATCGACAGCTCTCTCCGCCCGGGCGGCTTCCTCTTCATGCCCTTCTTTCTTCCCTCCTTACCCCTCCCCCCTCCCTCCCTCCTGCTTGTCCCCAAAGTCATTTTTAAAAAGAACTTGAGGTTTTGTTTTTGTTGATGTTTTCACTTACTGGTCGCACTTTGTGTGGCGTCAGCGCTTTCGCCAGTCACACTGCTGTGGGGGAGCTTTCCAGCCCTGTCTCTGGGGGTGGGGAGATGCACAGCGGAGGGCTGGCTCCTCTTTGGGGGCCCCCCGCCTACTGGTGAGCATCTTCCTCTCTTACTCCTCTGCTTCCCGGTCTGCTGCAAGGGAGGCCCGATGGCCTGGCGCGGGGAGAGCAGGGATAGCTGTCCGGGTCGGGGAGGGGACAGGAGAGGGACTGCAGCGCTGTGGCTCGTTCTTCACCGGGGGTGCGGGGTGCCTGGGATGGGGTTGGACAAGGGATTGAGGGCCGGCTGTCCCCCAGGCCCCAGGCCGTGGATGAGTACGCGGGGCACCAGGGGCCGCTGCAGTTGGGGATGGGGCGCAGGAGGAGTCCGGTACATGCTGCTGTACATGGCGGCGGCAGCCGCCGCGGCGGTCGTGCTGTCCATGCTGCCCAGCAGGCTTGGGTGGTAGAAATAAGGCGACGGAAACATCCTCTGCAGTGCCGAGTAGTTCCCCGCCTCGGCCAGCAGCTCCAGGCCCACCGCGGTCTGCCGCTTCCATTTGGTCCTGAAAAACAGCGAGCGTGCACGCACCCCGCAGCTGTGGGCACGGTCCCGGCACCAAGGCCCCATCTCTTGCCCTCTCCCGCTTCTCTTCCTCCAGGGACAGGAAGACAGAGAGAGCTCTGAGAACCGGGAATGAACCGCATCTCCTGGCCCCTACCCGACCCTCTTGCTCACAGAATGACCCAAATGCAAGTCAGTTTCGTAAATTACACCCTCAGTGTCTGAGATATTCATAAATGAAATTCTACAAGCTTTACTGCCTTTTCCTGACCCTCTGCTCTGCCGTTGCCCCTTTATAGTTTGGCTACTTCCTGAAACTTTCCCGGAGGCCAACAGAGACCACTCTTTCTATAGGCGGTCTTCTCTCTCCTCCTTTCATTCCCTTCCCCAAGTGGCCCCCCAGCAATCCCAGAGTGTGCACTCTCTGCCCCTCCCCCTTTCCTCTGGGCAAGCGAGAAGAAACCGTAAACAAAGGGACATGGAGACTCCAGGGCCTCGGACCCCTGCCCCTCTCAGTCCCCAGGGCTGTGGGGACACGTCTCTCTCATCAGCCTGACAGGACCGTACAGCAGGGGGGGAGAGAGGGCTTAGGGCAAGGAAGGCGACAAGGTTTCAAAACGGAATTCGTTTGAGGGAGGGCTCTCCCAAGGGGACAGTACCTCGGGGCCATTCCGGGAGGCAAAAAATGCATTTCAAGATATTTTCTCCTCTGGGAGAGAGTAACAATTAAAATCTGTGATCAGCTTTTCTCGGTCCCCTCCCTCCCTCGCTGCACCGATACACTGCGAGGAAGAGGTGAGCAGGCCTTTGCTCAAATGTCTCATGAAGGAACTCAGGGCTGGTGGGCCATCCATACCCAGCAGCTCCAGCCAAATTAATAAACATGTCGCCCATTCTAAATTGGCTACAAATGACACTAATGTTTTCCGACAGAATTAGGGTGGCTGAAACCGTATGTAATGAGACAGAAAATTATGGTAAAGATGACAACTGGATGGGCATTTCCAACTGCACTTATGGACGATTAGAACACAAACGAGAGAAAAGGAGGGGGAGAGAAAATTGCAACAAGGGAGACAACCGCCAGGCTTGGAAACAGCGTAACCTGGGCCTCAGCTTTTGCAGGGTTCGCTCTACAGTGCAGGGGCCTGCAAGCGCTGCCAGGCCCTTTCCCCATTTCCTTTCAAAGTAAGCAGCGGTTCCTGGGGGGTTCTGAGGCGGCCAGCACAGGGGACAGACCCTCAGTCTGGACGCCTGGCCAGCTGCCTGATTCTGCTGCCTGCGGCTGCCAGCCCTACCTCTCCTGGCCGGCTCAGAAGCCAAGGCAAGGACATTGAAGCTGAGGCGAGTGGAGCAGTTCTTCGGACCGAAATAGCCAGGAAGTGTGGCCAGCTACAGACATTCCGAACCAGCCTGGGGCAGCCCCAAAGGGTGCACCACGAAAGCTCTGTGGCCCTGAGTGTCAGCTGCAAAGATGTCTCAGTTTGAGAAGGTGTGGCTTGATTGATTTGGGGGCAAAGTGGGGGGAATTCTAGCCACTCAGGTTTGAGAGGCAAAGTAGCATATGTTACGACATATTTAAAGGTGCAAAATTCTCCAAACTCCAGCTGCCCATCAGACAGCTCTCACCTGGGGAATGTGGCTAATCCCTGCTCCAGCCTGAAAACCCCCAGCGCCCACTCAGACCTTCTAAGTCCCTAGAGGCTCCCGACGCCAGGAGGGAAGAAGACTGGTATGGGTCATGATCTGGACGGCTAGATGCCTTAGCTCCGCCACACAGCCTCTCTTACCTGCGGTTCTGGTACCACGTCTTGACCTGGGTGTCTGTGAGGTTGAGCGCAGCCGCCAGGTCCATGCGGTCCTGCACGCTCAGGTACTTCTGCCGCTCAAAGCTACGCTCCAGCTGATTGAGTTGGTGGTCAGAGAAAGCCGTCCTGGCTTTGCGAGGCTTTTTGGCTCTTACAGGGGGACTCTCTCGGCTACTTGTAATCTCCCGATCTCCTTCCTCCTTTGTTCCTACGATAGAAACCCAGACACAGCCATAAAGGTAGCCTGGAATGGGAAACAGTAGAGCATCTTCCTGGCACACACTTCCACGTTCCTGAGCCAGCGCTGGTCTGGGGGTGGGGGTTGGGGGGCCACACTCTGCCACCCTCCTACACACATACTTGGACCTTAGCCACGATGGTGGACGAGGACCAGTTTCTGGCTGGAGATTGTGGAGCCTTTTTCGGATCTCCTAAAAGGGTTTTAAAAGGGTGTCTGATCTTCCCATCTTTGGAAGTAAAAAAGAAAAAAATACTTGACAATAAAGGGTCCTTTTGTTATTGTTTCCTTGACTGGAAGTAGAGCCTGTCCCTTTCCTTTATTGTTTTCACTACAACTTCATTTTAATTTTTTTTTATTTGGTAGTTTTCAAAAGATCTTTCCACTTTGTTTTTTGAGGAGAGGGCACCTTTTTCATTTTACTTTTTCTGTTTCCTGAAAGTTACAGGCATTTGTTTTCCTTGTTCAGTCGCACTTGGGAAATGGAATCGTGCTCTTTGCAGCTGCTTGCATCAGGTCTTTGAAAGCTTCAGAAAGACTATGTCACCCAGACACCGAGCTGAGCTCAAAATCACTGAGCCCATCCAGGTGACAGCTTGGAAATTTCCGAATTCTATTTGTCAACTTTGGTTTTTTCCTGAAATGCTGGGAAATCGATATGTCAATCCCTCTCTGTTTGTACCCGTTTTTGCTGCGCTCCTTGATCTTCGCTGCAGGAAGAACAATAATCTCTCTAATTGACCCACTGGGGAGGTTGGTGCACAAAAAATCGCCAGACCAGACTGTACATCTGTTTTGGGCACTATTATGCTAATGCCATTATAGTAAAATGAGGATCCAGTATCCTACCTTCCAGACAGTCTGTACACATCCTTCCTCGAGATAGCAAAGATTAATAATAATAATTATTATTATTATAAACTTATCACTAAAGAAAAAAATAACTCTTCTGGTATGTTAAAACTCTTTTGCCATGCAAAGACCAGACACTCACCTATGAAACTGCCTGAGGAGAAATGGAAAAAGGGGCTTAAAAGACAATTTCAATTGCCATTTTCTGATTTTACAAAAATACATAAATTCAATTCCATAAAATTTTACTTCCATATATGCTACCTCCCAATTACCAGGAAGGAGCCAAAAATCTTACTAAAATGTAGATATTCAGTAGGGGCCAAGGGGTAAGAAGTGTGTTTTAAAAAACTGAAAAACTGATTATAAATTTTTCCCGTGTGGGCTTCCCCATATTTATCACGATCTAATTAAAAAAAAACAGTTGCTCTGTTAATCAACTTGGAAATTTTTCTTTCATTAAATCTGATTAATTCCTGTGAAAGTGTTTAGGAAAATTTGGTGTTTGGAGGAGGGAATGAAATAATTTGCATTAAAAATAAACACCACGTTGTGATCACACCCCTAGACACCAGCTAGTCAAGCCTGTTTCTCCCACCTCCCTCCATTCCGACTCCCAAGGTCTCGGCTAGAAAAATCTCAAATCTTTCCCTTCCATCAACAAAAGTATTTCCCGTCAGATCCCCTCCGCTGCTTCTCCCTTCCTAATAAATTAAAATTAAGTAAAACAAAGAAAGGAGCTAGACGCCGGTGAAGGTTGAGAGAGAGAAATGTAACAATAAACAGAACTTCAGACCAGTCCCCAAATCGCACGCCCAGGCCTCCCTCCCGCTTGCAGGTTTTGACTGAGGCACCATTGCCTTAGAAGCTCCCGGAAACACTCCCAGTCAGAGATTCGGGAAACTGAAAGGAAGGCAGGGAACCCGGAGAAGGAAGAGCCAGACCGCGGAGGGAGCCAGCCGGGGCGGCGCGACTCACCGTGGCATTTGATGTCGCTCTGGGAATCTTCCCTCTTGTCGAGTTTGCTTTTGCTGTCCTCCTGCTCGAGCTTTGGCCTGAAGCTCTCGTGTGCCGCGTTGCTCTCCTGCTTCGGGGTGTGATGGGGAGAGGAGACGCTGGTGCTGTAGGGCGCACACGCCGCCAGAGGTTTGCTGTCGCCCAAGATGTCCTTAATTAAAAAAGAAGAGGTGGAAGTCCTGGGGGCCGAGGCGGCCGAGCCCAGCTGCTGGGCCGGTGGCTGCTGTGGCGGCGGCGGTGGCGGCGGCTGCTGCTGGGGCGAAGGCTGCAAACTTTGCGTGGGGGCCGCGGCCGGCGGCGGCTGCTGGCTGTGGTGGAGGTGGTGGTGATGCTGGGGCCCGTCTGCCACCAGATGCGGCTCCGGGGATTCCATGGTGACCGAGATGGGAGAAGAAGGCGCCGTTCCTACGGTATCAATCTCCGAACAGGGGGACGGAGTGGCCTGACTCCTAAAATCCGCGGTCCTGGCCTCGCCGAGCGGGCGGAAATCTCCATTCATGATGCCGGGGCTGCCCGAACTGGCACTGGACAAAATCGTGTCTATTCCAAAACTCGACCCGCTGGCCCCTTCCATTGTTGTCATTTCTACATGAGGTCCACGCCACTCCGCCGCTCAGCAGCCGCCCCGACCAAGCAAAAGAAGCTATCGATCTAAGACAGAATAAACACTAAACAATGTCGCCGCTTAAAAGGAAAAAAAAAAACAAGTGGGGCGGGAGGGAAGGAAGGATAACTGGGAGGTGGCAATCAGGGGACACTTTCGACACAACTTTTTTTTTCCTTATGCAAAAAGTAGCAGCGAGGAGAAAGAAAGGCAGGGGGCAAAGTTATAAAAATTTTGGAGGAAGCACGCGGCGTGCGCTCCGGGAACGATGGCGCACGTGGGGCTGCGGTGGCGGCGCAGGGGACTCGACGACGGCGCGGGCGGCAGGAGAGACCCGGACGCCGCCGCCGCCGCCCGGGTCTGCCCACAGCCTGGCACCAGGCGGCAGCGGCAGCGGCGGCGGCGGACGCGGCAGGTGCAGCGACCGCGAAGCCCGGGCGGCCGCGCGCGCTCGGAGCTCCCCGGCGGCTCCCGAGGTGGCCGCCGCGCGCGACTCGGCCGCCCCGGAGCCGAGTTTCTGAACTTTCTTGGAAAGTTGTGGAGCAAACGCCGCCGCACTGGCCGCGGCCACCCCGGGAGGAGGAGGAAGAGGAGGGAAAGAAGGAGAAGGCGCAGGCGGAGAAGGCGGCGGAGACGCAGCGCCGAGCGACTCCGGTCGTTGCCGGGCGCGTTCGCTTGTAATCCGGCTGCCGGCGGGCGGCGCCGACCCCCTCCCGTGACGTCACGGCCACTGCCGCCGCTCCCCGCCCCGCGCCGGGCCCGCGCCCCCGCCGCCCAGGCCGCGCGCCGGGCCCCGCGCCCCCATTGGCCGCGCCCGCGCGAGCGAGCGACGCCGACGTGCCGGGAGCCAATGGGCGTGCGGCTCGCGAGCCCGTCAGCGAGCGCGGCTCGGGCCCCGCTGCTCTTTTGAGAACCCGCGCATCCCTTTGCCTGCAGCCCAAAGCTGAACGCCCAGTCCCACAGTGGTCGCGGTGTCCACAATCACGCGTGAGGGCAAAGGGGGAGAGGGCAAGAGAGACGGCAACCAAGGGGGTAAAGGAAAAAAGACAAAAGCGAGAGCATAGTAGCGATTTGCCCGTTTTCTTAAAAAGTCAGAGGAGGGAAGGGAAAGAGGAGAGAAGAGAAAAGGAATCTGGCCGGCTTACCTTTAGACTCCAGCGCGGCCGCCCTCCCAGCATCCCCAAACGCGCTTGACTAGTCCGAGGACACTGAGAGCAGAGGAAGGGTTTCCCCGAAGATCCCACGGCAAAGTGTGTAACGCCAGCAGCCGGAGCTCCGGGTGGGCGGGCGGACTCCGAGCTCTGATTTCTCCCCCAAAGAACCCAGGCGCCTGGGCTCTGGCCCAGCTGGGTAGCCGGTCCCTGAGGAGGACGGAGTGGGATCTGCGTCCACCCGGCACTCTCAGGAGGGATGGGGGCAAGGGGCCTGCTGCTCAAAACTGAGGACCCAGCCTGGTCACCAGGCAGGGCCGGTGCTGGAAGAAGTGCCCGGCCAGACACTTTCTCCTGGGCAGGGGAAGTGATGCCCGCAGGCGTTCCCTAGTGGCGAGGGCAGCCGCGGTTCTCCGCAATGTCGGGCTGGCACTGGGCGCGGGAACCCGGGTGGCAGGTCCGTAGCGCGTATTCCTGCCTCGCTGCCAGCCAGTTCTCAATCTCTCCCTATCTCTGTCTCTCTCTTCCTCCCTCCCTCTCTCCGGCCGCTCCTTTGGAAAGGAAATAGTCACTGTGGATCCACTTGGGACCTGGAGCATAGCATGACTGTGACGCCTCGTCGGAGGGTATCAACTTGCATTATTTTCTCTAGGACGTCTCCAACCTGTCTCTTGTTGAATGTCAGAGTAATGGGAAGTGCCAGTGACAAGACGGCATATTACTCCTGATTAAGTGCCGTGTCAACCTAATTAGCAGAGTAATTATAAGGTGCTAATGAATGATTCAAAGTTCTTTGAGTTACATTTTACTCCAAATTACCATTTTAAGAACCCTATGAATCTGAGTGGCTGGCATCGCTTCCGTGACTGGGTGCAGAATGATGGTAGAAAATGGCCTTTGAAGTCTCCAAGGGTTGGGCAGAAATCTGGCGTTTAGTTGCGGTTCTGAGTGTCTCTTTCTGGGGAATAGCTTTTTTCTGTTGAGGACGGGGTGGAGGGCCGGGGATAGGGGGTGTCAGGGAGGCAAATGACCTCTTGGGACAAGATATTGCCTTTCTGTCGGAATTGCCTTGTGTGAGCCCTCGGTCAGGAAGGGGGTGTGTGGGAGACATTCTCCCTGCCTTTTCCTAGGGAGTTCGATGTGTTTGACCCAGAAAAAGCCCGCGCTATTTCGAGGGTGGTTTGAGCTGTGTCTTATCATCTGCCTGCCGTTTTTTCACGGCTGTGTCCCTGAGGAGAAGAGTGGGGAGAGAAAGACCGAGGCGAGGCGATGCACAATCTGGGCAGCTCTCGCCTTTCGCAGGCGAGAGGAGCTTGGCGGCGGAGCCGGGGCTGGTGAGCCGCGGCGGGGACGCGGGGCGAGCTGCAGGCAGAGGCGGCCGCCGGCCTGAGGGGGTGCAGGAAGCCCCTCTCTGGAGCAGGTGGTGGGCCCGCCGGGTGGGATCGAGTCGCTCGGGGCCGGGAAGCCGCGGAGGGCCTAGATGATGCCTGGAGCCGGGGTGGATCGGGCGCCTTTGGAGCGGGAACTGCGCACTGGCCAGGCAGACACTGCTGCGAGCGGGATTTTGGAAGTAAGGGCCGGGACTTATGAAGGCAGGTATCTTATCGAAGGCCGCAAAGTCCTGCCCGAGAGGCCGAGCCTCAGCGCATCCTCGCGGCCTCTGCATCCCGCGCCCCTGGCATAGTTGGCTTCTGTGGGAAGGGCACTGGGGTTGCCCAGACTACAAGCGGGCGCGACACATTCTTCTCCCTTCAAATATCATTTAGGATTCTTCTCCTTCCGACATCACCCACCAACTTCCCGAATGAGGTGCGTTTCCTCCCAAACCTGGGGCTCTAACCCGCGCTCCCCTCGCTGACTATTCTGGGTGGGGAGTGGAGGAAAACAAATTTAAGATCCAGAACTGAAGGCACTGCACAAATCAGTTATTCTCAACGTTGATAAATAATTCATTTAAGCCTGTTTTTGTTTTGTTCCTACGCCTTAAATGATTTAAGAGCTGAAAAGGCTGATCGCACAGCTTATGCTGGGCAGTTCAACAGGATTTTTTTGCTTAGAATAATTCGCAACTTTAGCAGGAGAGTCAGAAATATGACCCTACGAAAGAATGAAATCTAAAAAGAAAAGGAGAAAGGAAGGTGGAAGTGTTAGGGAAAAGGGAGTGTTGGTTTATAAAAACTCTAAAGCAAAGAAAACAGAAGCCCAGTAGGCCTCACCTTGTGAAGTCTCAGATCATGTTTTCTTAAGAAATGGCTGAGATCACACGAGATTTCTTTGGGTGGGATGTTAGGAGATCTGCTTTTGGGAGCAACAACTGTGATGGGGAAAATAAGACCTTGACTTTTATTTAGGCTCCTATCTTTGGGTCCCTACCAGAGAGGAAATGCTAGCAGTGGCCTGAAGATCCAAAAGAGGGTCTCAAAGGCCAGATCGAAAACTTAATGAGAAACAAATTCTTCAGAGCAAAGGTTTGTTTCTTAATTTTTCTCAGTTCTTTTTTCTCCAGATACATTCCTCTTTTGCTATTACTTTTTTTTCTGAGGGTATCTATAATATATACCCCCAAGGTCATGCACTTTCTAGCAGAGCAAACATAATTAATTTTTCATTTTAAAAAATCAAAATTCAGAAATAGAGCAGGGTGCAGATTAATCCCATTTTCAATTCCCATGTATAGGAAAGGAAATGCATTAACTGGATTTGATCTCAGATTTTGCCAATGGATTTAAAACACAAGTAAATATAGTCCCTAAACTGACATAAGTTTGAAAATGGTCTTCCACTTTCAGGCCTTTAAAAAAAAAAAGGACTAGGGAAAAAGAAAATACTTTTTGGAAAATTTTGGAATTTTTGCATAGAAAGCAGTTATTTGCGAACTGTGGCTAAGAGAAAACAGGCTTTTCCTTAGCGCCTCTGAAGGACACCTTCGTCCTGACCACCCTAAAGATGCTCCCTCCCCACCACAGAGAAAGATTCCAACACGCATGTATTTTAACAAGTTTTGTTCCTTAATGCACTCTTGGGGCCCACCTTTGCAACCAAGATTTGGGATCGTATTTAAACTGGAGCATCAGGTTTTTTAAAAACAGAACTGAACTTTGAAGCAATGCACCTATAGATGAACTTGGAACTGGCGTTTTTCCTATCATATTTCGTTTGAACGCTTCCAAGGGTTCACATGACGACAATGCCAACTGACCAGAATGCGGTGCAAAGGCGCTTCTCTCCACTGGGCGGCGCCAAGAGCCCCGAACCCAGAGAGCCGGCTATTGTTTCTTTCTATAAAAGACCCAAGATACGCAAATAAAGCTCTCCCCCGTCTAAGGCTGACCCCCTGACAAGTGTGACCTTTCGCCATTTCAAAGTTACAAAAACGTAGGAAGTTTTCTTTCCTTCTTTTCAGTCTATCGATATATTTCCAACTGCTTAGGGCCTTGATGTGTATTTGGTTAGAAAAATAATACATTAAAGAGAAAGATATGAAAACACTGAAATTGAGTCCCTTAAATAGACTGAAACCAGGAGAGTGGAAACTTGGAGCAGAGGGAGAAAGGTAAAGCAGAAGGAAAAGAATAAGGTAACTGAAAACTGTTTTAGCAGAACAACATGTTAAAATGATAGACTATGTAATTACTACTTGTCTTAGGGGAATAAGTTTTGAGAGATAGCTCTGGCCTCATAATAAAATTTGTGAGAGCTATGAGCTTCACCACAACTTTAAAGATGGGCAGTTTATAAAGGACCTAGTGAAGCTGGCTCTCCCTTGGGGACTAGATGTGTGCTGTACAGAAGCAATCACAGGAAGGCGAGTTGAGATGTAGAGGAAAGAACGCTGCAAGAGGGAGTCTCAGCCTCATTTTGCCACTTTCCAATGTTTGTGAGCAAAGCACTTAACCTTTCTGATCCTCAACTTCCTTCTCTATTAAAGGAGAAAATAGTCCTTGCCTAGAATAGGGCGATTATGATGACTGAGGAAGGGCTTCTATGTAAAAGCCCTTTACAAAATATGAGGCAAGAGTTTGACCAAAAAAGAAAAAATGCAAAGGTGGCAATTATTTCTACCTATAGGTGACATAGAGTAGCCATATTTTTTTCACTTTTTCCTTCTTGCACTCATTTTGTTCATTCTCTCAGTCAATAAGCATTACTGAATGTGCCTCC